GGCCGGAATGCCCCGCCCAGACCAGAGGCCCCGCCCCACCTATGCCCCCGCCTGGCCTGGGACACGCCAGCACCCATGGACGCCGCGGCGCGACTCCGAGCCTCAGAGGATACCTGGACGCGCCCGCTGGAAGACCCTGGGTTCCGGCCCTCTCGGCTCCAGGTCTTCACCCTTTCGTTCTGGGATGGGGCGTCGGTCCGGTCGCAGGGCAGTGACAGGACTGCTCTATGGGCCCCAGCACCGGCTCTTAAAAGGCCGATCCCTCCGCTCGCGCACCAGGGAGGCGCGGTTGGTTCGCTGGCTGAGCAAGTGAGCCAAGGAGGCACGTGGACACGGACCTCTTGCGCAGATGGGTTCCCTGAGAAGTCTGCGGCGGGAATGAGGGGCACCTTACTGACAGCTTGCCATTCATCAGAGTCACAGCTCTGGTGGCCGAAGAGGGCTAGCCAAAATACGATTACTATTTTAGAGTTGGGAGACAGGCTCAGGGAGGAGAGGCGTCTTGCCCAAGAGCCCAGTGAAATTCAGACTTCAGTCTTCTGACCCTTCTACAGTGTCACCATCTGTCTGCACAGCCTAGTCCACCTGGGGTTGCCCTGGGGTGTCAGTGATCCATCTCTGACACTGGCAAAATGGCTCCGATTGGAAATGTGAAAGACTCAGGGAGACCTGTGCTGGGAGAACTAGAAGCAGGAGCCCAGGGGCTGGCCTAGGAGCTCCCTGTGAGGGGCAGTGAGATTCAAGGGCCACTCAACAGTTAGGGAACTTGCTAGGCACTGGACAGTCTGCAGGAGATTTATGCACCCCTAAGTTCACTGAACCTCCGGCACAGCACAGAGAAGGAAAGCAGAGAGGAAAACTGGGCCAGGAGAAACTGAGCAAGCAACAGTCCCAGGTAGAGACAAACTTGGATTCATGTCCTCTCTCCACCACTTCCTGGCAACACAGTTGGTGCTGGGTGTGCACGTGCCCACAAAAGAGGCCAGCCTCTCTCCAGCTGATACTCAAGGGCTTCTGCCCTGGGTTCTGCTCATTAATGAGCCATTCATGGGCCTAATGGCATCTGGGCATGTCCCAGCATCCTGGGGCACCTCCAGGGCGTAGGGGGCCTCTGTGACCTATAAACATTTCCAGAGCTCCCACGCAGTGGCAGCCCTGGCCAGAGGAGGACATGCAGAGCCAATGGGGTGAAGACCACTGGCCGAGGCCCCAGCCAAGGTTCCAGACACCAGACCTGCACCAGCTTGTCAGGGCAGGACTCAGCCAGGAACCCTGTAAGTGGGTTGTTGGTACAGCAATGTCTGGGATGCATGCTGGCACACGCAGGGTCACAGGAAGTTCTTGTCTAGCAACACTCACCCACAGTCCCAGCAGCCACCATTCAGGGCTCTAAATTCCAGCATTAAACCCTGGTGGCCTCTCCATCTCCCTGCCCCAGCACAGGCATGGTCATTTCCACCTCCTAGCCTTTGCTCATGCTGCTCCCCTTGCTGTGATCGTCTTTCCCTTAGGCCCCCACACCTGCTTGAGGACGGTCCAGGAGGAATTTACCAAGAACAGCAAGACACCGAATACACTGGGGAGGGAGGAGGATGTGGCAAGGGAGTGATGTCCAGGGATAAGAAGTCTTGGCTCAGAGAGTTGGGCCGCTGACCCCCTCCTTCCACCTACCATCTGGTTCTCAGGCGAAGGGTGGATGCTAATCTGGTGACACCTAGGACGACAACCTTGGGACATTTGTTCACTAGTGTCATCTCAGCACTTAATAGAGTCTGGCACCCAATAAGCCACTAGTGGAAGAATATAAATGGAGGGAGAGGTCAAGGAAGGCTTTCTGGAGGGATGATGCTCAGGTGAGGAGGAGGAGGACAGCATCCCAGTTGTCATGGGGACAGTCTCAACAGCAGAGAGCACAATGCGGGGAGCGAGTGAAGAATGGGGACAGAGTCTGAGGCCCATCCTCAGTATGAGAGGGAGTGACCCTCAGAGTCCAGCCTGAGGCTAGTCCCAGCTCCGCCTTTCTCTGGAATGCGCCCTCCGGTTCCTATCACTTCAAGCCTCCAGCTCCTTTTTGTAAGATGGAGAGCTCAGTCCTGACTCTGAAGTAATAGCTTCATTTAAACATAATTCCCACACCATGCAATTCAGTCACTTAATGAGCAGAATTTAGAGGTTTTCACTATATTTACAATGTTGTACAACCATCACCACAATCAATTTTAGAATATATCCATCACCCTAAAAAGAAATTTCATACCCATTAGCAATCACTCCCCATTTTACCCTCTCCCAGCCCCCAGCAACTACTGGTCTATTTTTCGTCTCTATGGATTTGCCCGTTCTCCACATTTCATATCAGTGGAATCATACCATACGTGGCCTTTTGGGTCTGACTTCTTTCACTTAGCGTGGTGTTTTTGAGGTTCATCCACATTGTGGCATGTGTCAGGGCTTCATTCCTTTTTTATTGCTGAGTAATACTCCGTTGTATAGATAGGCCACATTTTATTTATGTAATCCTCAGTTGATGGACACTTGGGTTGTTTCCACCTTTTAGTTATTTTGAATAATGCTGCTGTGAACATTCATTTACAAATTCTTGTGTGAACATGTTAGGTATATACCTAACACTGCAATTGCCGGGTCAGACAGTAAGTCTGTGTTAAGCCTTCTATGAAGAGTCTTTTTGAAGATTAAACTTGGGAATTTCAGAATCTGCCTTCCCTCCCCCCAGGATCTTCACACTGCCTCTGCTCTGCCTTGGCATCAGGGTCCAACCCCAGCTCTCCCCTGGCTTCTTCCTGTGACCTAGGGATAGTGGATTCCCCTCTCTGAGCCACACAGTGAAAAGTGACTTTGGGGTCCCAAAAGAGACCGGGTAATGGGGGCACGGAGTGGGTGGGTATCCCTGCATCCTGAGAGGACCTACCTTCTGCCCTGTGTGTTCAGGACAGGAAACAGGGGTCAGCAAGTCCCTTCTGCCCAGTCGGATCTCCCTGGATACCCTTGGCTTTGAGAGTCCAGCATAGCCCGAGCTCAATTCCCTTGTCACCTCATCTGGACGCCCTGCCCACACAGGATGGCCAGGAAGAGGTTTGTCTTTCCATCCTCCTTTGATTAGCTATCAGACATGCAGATAGTCAGGTTTCATATGGTGGCCAAGAGTAGGGGGAATTTGGGAGAGGGGGCATGCTGAGCTGCTCAGGCCACTGAGCCAAGTAAACACCATCCCTGGGGGAAATGACAAGGACCAGAGCAGAGGGAGACAGAGAATGCAAGTCCAAGGAGGGAGTCCTAGGGAGCAAGGTCATGGTGGGAGGAAGACACAGCCTAGCCTCACAAATTTGTGACCCAGCTGTCCAGCTATGTTTGTGTCCCCTTCACAGACTGTAATTATTTCTTTGTGGGTGATTTTGATCCCTGTCTGTCTCCTTCACCTACCCATGAGCTCTGCAAGGGCATAGACAGGGTTAGTCTTGAGCCCTTCTCCGTGCCTAACATGGTGAGTGCTCATAGGTGTTTGCTGAGTGACTGAGTGCGTGTATGTGTATGCGTGTGTGTGACTGAGAGAGTCTATATGTGGGCTCCTTTCCCCTGCTCCTCTCCACCTCTTTCCTAGCCCGTCCCCTTCCCCAAGGTAGGCACCCCCAGCCCGGGCGCCCAAAGGACAGGATGTGCAAGCAGCTGCCCCATACAGGAAAGTAATTAATAAGCTCCTCCATGGGGGACAGCTGGGGGAGATTTCACACTTGTGGGGCTTCCAGGAACTCCTTCCCCTAAAACCACACCCTCACCCCCAAGACCCACTCCCACAGCCTGTTGGGATTCCAAGGGGAGGGGACTGCAGATGAGGGCGGGCCCAGCTGTCCTTGATTTATGTGAAGTTTTTCCACTTCAGATGCCAGATTTGCCTGAGCATATAGAGGATGTGGTTTCCTCCTGGGGAGGGGCCCCTCAAAGACGGGGCCCACCTACACAACCCACCCCCACAACCCGATGTTCCCAGTTCCTGCTGGTAAGGAATGGGGCGGCGGGGGGGGGGGCGGGAGGG